AGTCTGCACAAAAGCGGCTCGATGGCAATACTATATAATAGGCCTGAGATAGGGCAGCCCTGCCTGATCCCCCTTTTAACTGGTACAGGTCTACTCAGCCCTCCCCCCACCTTCACAACACAACATGCATCACTGTACAAACACTTCACCCAGGACAAAAAATGCTCCCCAACACCAAAAGCCTGCAATGTGGCAGCCAGAAACGTGTGATCCACACGATCAAACGCCTTCTCCTGGTCAATAGAAATGATACCAACATTTATATTATACAGTTTGCAAACATCAAAAGTGTCTCTCATCAAAAACAAATTGTCCACAATTGATCTGCCAGGGATACAATATGTCTGATCAGTACCGATAAGAAGTTCAATAAAACACTTCAGTCTGTTTGCTAAGACCTTTGACAGTATCTTATAGTCCGTACATAAGAGAGCCACAGGTCTCCAGTTCTTAAGCAGGGTTAGATCTCCTTTCTTAGGCAACAGTGAAATCACTGCACGCCTACAGGAAGCTGGAAGAGTCCCTTTCCCAAAGGACTCCATCAATACTTCCAGCAAGTCATGTCCCAGAATACTCCAGAAATGTTTAAAAAAGTCTGCAGGTAAACCGTCTATGCCCGGAGCCTTGCCGGAGGCCATCTGTGTCACCGCAGAGGTCAATTCCTCCAGCGTAATGTCAGAGCCCAGGGTGTCACTTTCGGCTGGACTCAGCTGTGGAAGACCCTGAAGAAGTTCATCAGCAGCTTCCACGTCACAACCTTCGGCTTTGAACAGGTCTGTGTAGAAGGACACTGCATGCCTCCTCATCTCAGCAGGTTCAGAGGTTACCTGTCCATCGGGGAGACGCAGACATACCATCTGCTTGCTTTGGCCCACAGACCTCTCCAGGTTGAAGAAAAAGGTGGTTGTTGCATCAATGTCTCTCATGGAAGTAAAACGGGCTCTGATCAGAGCTCCCTTGGCCTTCTCCTGAAGAAAACAGTTAAGCTGTTGTTGTTTTAGGAGGGACTGTTCTATATTTCGAGCAGACACACTATCTAACTCTCTGATCTCCCTCTCTAACTGCTCTATAGCTCTCCTAATGTTTGCAGTGGAGTAGGCTGTATACTGTTGGCAGAACACTCTAATCTGAGCCTTTCCTACCTCTCACCACTGACTCAGGGAGGGAAAAGATTCTTTCTTTGATTTCCAGTTGATCCAAAATAATTTAAAATTCTCACAAAAAGTCAAATCTTGTAAAATGTTAACATTAAACTGCCAGAACGATCTAGGTTTCTCTGTGTTGGATAAAACCAAATCTAAAGAAACTAGCTGATGGTCTGTAAAACCAACAGGTTGGATGTGACAGTTCACTGCACGAGTAATAGAAGAAGCAGACATGTAAAATCTGTCTAGCCTGGCTGCACTGACGCCCCCATCTAGCATTCTCATCCAGGTGTATTGTTTAACAGAGGGGTGCTTCGTCCTCCACACATCCACTAAGTCAGCCTCTCTTATCACCTGTGACAGTAAAAGGGACGACTGAGGATGCGGCTCCTGTCCTATTCTGTCTAAAGTGACATTAGTGCAAGCGTTCCAGTCCCCCCCCAGTATAACACACTCCCCCTGTACACTAGTGTCTAGCTCGTCTTTTAATAACTGAAACACAGATACACGTGCAGGGCCCTGATTGGGTGCATAAACATTAATAAAAGTGAAAAAGAACTCTAACAGTTCTACTTTCACCATCAAGGCTCTACCTGCCACTATCTCTGTGCTGGATAAAATCTTAACATTTAGAGAGGGGGAGAAAAAAACAGCTACTCCAGCACTAAGGTTTGAGCCATGACTGAGTACATACTGACCCCCCCACCACATTCCCCAGTCCGTCTCATTCAGGCTATCACTGTGCGTTTCCTGCAGAAATATCACATCTAATTTTTTCTGATTAAAGACCTCCAACACTAAAGCTCTTTTCTGTGCACTTCTACCCCCGTTAATGTTTAAAGAAGCAACCCTTAAAGCCTGCATTAGAGGAAGGAGACAGAGAAAAAGAACAGACAGGTACACACAGCAGAGAGGAGACACCCAGTGTTGCATGATTATTTTGAAACTATTTAGACCTTTTCAGTTTCCCCCCTTTTTTGCTTCCTTTCGTAACTTTTTTCATAGTAGTTACATGCTTCCTGAGACGATAGCGTCTCTTTTCATCCAGCAGGTCTAACCCTACAACTTTCTGAAGAGTGCTCACTGTATGAAGAAACTTGTTAGTGTCAGGGAAAAAGTCTCTCACTTCCACTGCCTTGCCAAAGGACTCATCTAAAAAGACATTAATCTCTTCCAAAGAATATATCTCTGTGTTCTGAGAGAGACTATCTGCAACTGAAACACAGTCAGAATCCCCCTCACCGTCTGTGTCCATCTCTGTCACCTCATTATTGTCTGCAGCCTGTTGAAGCTCTTTTTGCCTCCCAGAACCAGACGGCAGCTCCTGCTGTGTGCCAACAGCCTCCACCTGTCCCACAGCCCCGGTCCTCACCTGTCCTACTACATCATCTCCCACCCGTTTACCTGTTTCCACATTTTTTCCTCTCACACTCACCACACTCTCTACAGTCCCTGTTTCATCTCTCACGATATTCATCCCTACTTCATCCGCAGCCCCTGGGGCCCCGGCGGGTGCAACAGCAGCCCCCGCGACACCGGCCTCCGCGGCCGCCGACCCAGCGGCCGGCTCGGCGGCCCCGGACCTGGCCGCCCCGGGCTCGGCGGCCTCGGGCTCAGCGGCCCCGGGCTCCGCGGCCCCGGGCTCGGCGGCCCCGGGCTCGGCGGCCCCGGCGGCCCCGGACTCAGCCGCACCCGGCGGAGCGGCGTGCCGTCTCTGTGGACATGCAACACGTTTGTGACCCGACTCTCCGCACTCAAAACACTTTACGTTCCCTGAGCTCGCATACACCATATAAAAACCCTCTTCGTGCCTCACCCGGAAAGACACATCTAGTGTCTGAGTGGGACAATTCAGAAACATGAACACCTGTCTCCGCAGAGATTGGACATGTTTTAGCTTTTCATCCTTACACCCCAGAGCAACAGTGCGGAGAGTACTAGCAAACTTACCGAAACGCTTCAGCTCCCGTTCCAGCGCCTCATTCGGGATGAATGGCGGAACGCCAGACACAGTGATCCGCGTGGACGGTGTTGCCAACGGCGAAACTTGAATATATTCCTCGTTTACCATTAATCCGCTCTCAATAAGTTCCGTCACATATTTCTGGTCTTTCAAAAAGACCACGACCGCTTTGTTCATGCGGGAAGCATAGGAGATGTTTACATGACCGACCTGCTCCCCCACAGCCAGCAGCACCTGCTCCACTGTGCTTGCGGCCTGAGCCACCAAACGCACTCCGTGTCTCAGAGACACCGGCGGCGCCCCGAAGGACGCCATCCCCGCCACGAGGCACGGAAAAACACTCACGAAAAAGTATTAACCGTACGCGCAAAGAGTACAAATATCCCCACTGAAGATCATACAGTTAAAGAAACGATTGAAACAGAAACAAACGAAATACAAGTAAAAATCCCTCTTCCCTCTTCAAAAACACACCTCCACCACAGAAGAAGAAGAAGAAGAAGAATTGGGAGGGATGAAACCCTCTTTAATGGTCACACATGCAGAGCACACAGCACACACAGTGAAATGTGTTCTCTGCTTTTAACCCATCCTAGTACCAGGAGTCTAGTACTAGGAGCAGTGGGCAGCTATTGTACAGCGCCCACGGAGCAATGGGAGTGAGGGGGGAAGGGGGATGTCCGGTGCCTTACTCAAGGGCACCACGGCAGGGCAGGAGGTGAACTGGGACCTCTCCAAGTAGAAGTCCACACTCCAAATAGGTCTGGTCGGGGACTTGAACCGACTGACTGCCATAGATTTAGTCCCTAATGTTGCTCTCAAAATGGACCAGATTGATGCATTTAACTTCAACATTTAAAAAAAATCTTCCCGGGGGAGCTTGCCCCCGGACCCCCCTAAAGGAGGTGAGGTCCACCACCTGCCCACATCCCCTGTTAAATTGTCTCACCCACATTGAGGATGCTTCCTACGCCCATGTTTTATTCCATGTGTCAAGTCAGGCAAATTGGGTCAAAATGTTATTGCATCAATGATCTGTTAACATTAAAATCACTAAATATATGCCGTAACTATTTTGCTCTAGGCAACTCAAGGGCTCAGGTAATGTGATTACTATATGAATAATTGTCCAAAATAACATAAAATGCATAGGGTTTTTTGTTAAGTAACATACTTTCGTCGCCGGCCGGCCGATACATGCCGCGCATTAAGTGGGCCTGTCTGTCAATTAATCCCAGGGCCACTTTTTCCCCCCAGTCCGCCCCTGTCTAGAGGCAGACATTAAGTACAGCACTGGTGTAAATCAACTTGACTTTCTATTTCATATCATCATCATACAGTCCATCCTTGATTTTCACTCTATATTCTCTGCACCAAACTAAAGCCAGGGTTACACCAACAGACTCTGTGCATCGCTGTGGATGTCTGTAAATACAATCCACAAATGATATCTCGTTCTCCGTCTCGCTCTCATGCTTAATACAACCAAGCATTTTTCTTTTTGAATGCAGAACATTCTTCTGCTACTTTCCTGCAAATTATTTTCTTTTTTTGTCAGCTAAATATGTGCAAAAGTACTTAGGCAGGAGACTAGCAGAGAGGGAACAATTATGGGGAGAAAAATGTGTTTTCTCCACATTCCTGAATTAATGATGAGCTTCTTTTGTTTGCCTTTCCTTGTCCTTAATTTAGTCAGGATAGCTGTATAAATATGCATATTTAGTGTATGTAAATGTCTGTTTCATTATAGACGATTGAAGAGGAAGCCTCATTTGCTGCATAGTTTATTACCTGTATGGTCTTATACAGCTCTGGAGGGACCATTATCTAAATGTCAGCAGTCTGAAGATACAGCACAGTCTGTTCACAGCGGGATGTGGTGTTTCTTGCAGAATGTGTACTACACCAACACTCAGCAGCTCCACATCGGACTCCTCAGTCCCACCATTGACGACGACGACAACAAGTGCCTGGTGGACGTGAACAGCAGACCGCGCCTCATCGAGTGCAGCTACGCCGCGGCCAAACGCATGAAGCTCCACTGGCTCTTTTCTCAGGTGACTACCCATGAACACAGCGCCAAAACATGGTCAGAAAACAAGTTAACAAACCCTTTTCAATTCCATTCAGCCTCAGTAATGGTAAGGCAAGGCAAGGCAAGTTTATTTATATAGCACCTTTCAACACAAGGCAATTCAAAGTGCTTTACAAAAAACGAAAGACATTAAGAAAATGGCATTTAAAATCAGTCATTAAAAAGAAAAGATAATAAAAGAAACATTAAAAGAAAAAATACATGGATAAAAGTTACAGTGCAGTTTAAGATGTGAATAGTTCAATTAAAAGCAGCGGCAAAAAGAAAAGTCTTTAGTCTGGATTTAAAAGTAGTCAGAGTTGCAGCGGACCTGCAGCTTTCTGGGAGTTTGTTCCAGATATTTGGAGCATAATAACTGATGTAATGTGTTTAACGTGACAGGAAAACTCAAGTGTGGCGGTAGCTTTTAATCATGCAAGTGGTTTAAATTACTGTTTGACCAGAGTTCAGTTCTGTAACTCATTGAGACGTGAGGAGTCATTGAAAGTTAATGTAAGCTGGTGAATTTGATTTACTGCATGCTTTGATTTGGGCTCAAAATACTTCATATTGTCTGCTATGCTGTCAGTGCAGTGTTAATTATAAATGTTGTCCCTCGTTCAGCAATATACACGTAAAATCCCAAATGTGCTTATTATTAAACGCTTGTTATAACCAGTGCAGATTTATTTTAGCAGTGCTGGATTGGCAATACAGGCCACACATTTGTCCTTTTTATGTTTAACAGCGTAATGGACATATTATAAAGAGGTTTTACACTATATGTTTAAGCTAGACAATCATTTTTCTCTGATCTTATCAACACAAATATTAATAACTCTCGTTTATTATTTTCCACTATTGATAGGTTAACTAACCCCAGAATGGAAATAGCCCCTGAACTAATCTCCACTCAGAAATGTAATGAGTTTGCTTTATTCTTCACAGAAAAGATCTTAAAGATCAGGCAAGATATCAATTCCTCAATTCCGAGTCTTGACCCTATGTTCCCATTGCAAGGACAAATAATTAATGAAGCAAACATGTCAGAGTTTGTTCCAGTCAGCCATAAAACACTTGAAGACGTTATATTCCATCTAAAAACAACTACATGTAGTCTTGATAGTCTTCCGACAAACTTCTTTAAAAATGTCTATTGCTATATTGCCTCAGATGTACTGCAGATTGTGAACATGTCACTCCATTCAGGTGACTTCCCTAAGGGCTTGAAAACTGCAGTTATTAAGCCACTGCTAAAAAAAGAACACACTCGATACACTGATGATCAGTAATTACAGGCCAATTTCAAATTTACCATTTTTAAGCAAAATAATTGAAAAGGTTGTCTACCTTCAACTTAACAGTTTTTTGACCTCCAATAACATTTTAGACACCTTCCAATCTGGTTTTAGGTCTCGTCATAGCACAGAGACGGTTTTATTAAAGATTTTAAATGACATTCATTGTAATACCGACTGTGGGAAATCCACAGTTTTAGTTCTATTAGACCTCAGTGCGGCGTTTGACACCGTAGATCACAACATTTTAATAGAAAGACTAGAGAAATGGGTGGGTCTGTCTGGCACTGTCCTAAAATGGTTTACATCATATGTTGAAAACCGAGAGTATTTTGTTTCAATTGGTAGCTGTACATCAGACAGAACCAAAATGACTTGTGGAGTTCCCCAGGGGTCGATCCTCGGCACCCTTCTATTCAATTTATACATGCTGCCACTTGCTCAAATAATTAGAAATAACAACATTTCTTATCATAATTACGCGGATGACACCCAAATCTACATATCACTTTCCATAGATGAATACGGTCCAACTGATTTATTGATCACATGTCTAAAACAAATACATGACTGGATGTGCCGTAATTTCTTACAGCTTAACACAAAAAAAAACGAAGTAATTGTTTTTGGAACCAAAGAAGAAAGAATTAAAGTCTCTGCACACCTGGAATCACTATTACTCGAACCGAAAAGTCAAGCAAGAAACTTAGGTATAATTTTAGACTCTGACCTCAATTTTAACAGCCACATCAGGGCAATCAACAGATCAGCCTACTACCATCTAAAAAATATCTCGTGTATTAAAGACCTTATGTCCAAGCAAGACCTTGAAAAACTTGTCCATGCATTTGTTTTTAGCAACTACTGCAACAGCATCTTCACAGGCCTCACAAAAAAATCACTCCGTAAACTCCAACTAATTCAAAATGCTGCTGCCAGTGTTAACCCGGACAAAGAAAACAGATCACATCACTCCAGTGCTGAGATCACTGCATTGGCTTCCAGTTAGTGAGATAATTGACTTTAAGATTTTAATGCACACATATAAAGCACTAAACGGGCTAGGACCCAAATATATCAACGACCTCCTTCAGTGGTACGAACCCAGCAGACCCCTTAGGTCTTCAGGCGCAGGCCAGCTCACTGTTCCATTTGTGAGATCAAAGTGTGGGAAAGCAGCCTTCTGCATCTATGCTCCTAATGCATGGAACAAACTCCCAGAACATCTGAGAATGGCTAGCACTTTAGAATCATTTAAATCAGGTCTAAAAACATTTATTTTTAATATGGCTTTTCAAATTTAAATATTCAAATTTTCGAACTGTTAAACATGGTTTTCTTTCTTTTAATTAATTATTTTGTGTGTTTTGTATTTCTTCTCAATGTATTGTGTTTGCTCTGTTTGATCCTGTAAAGCACTTTGAATTGTATTACTGTATGAATTGTGCTATACAAATAAATTGCCTTGCCTTGCCTTGCCTAAGTATGTCACAAGTGTTCACGCTGAACTTTAAGTGGCTATTTTAGTTTATAATTTAGAGAGCAAGCCTCTGAAATATGACATCAATTATTGACAGTTTTGAATTCACACATGCAAAGTGTCAACTCAAACTTGAAATAGATTGCCTCAATGCAGCTCTAACAACTGTGGGGGACGCGTGCTTTTTTTTATAACAAAATATTGCAGAAAACCAAATTAAATGAAGATATTCTTAATCTTTTCCTAGGGAAATGTGAAGCATTTCCCTCACAAAGAAGGGATTTTGAGAAGATATTTAAATATGTGCTTGTATGTACTGTAAAGACTTGGCATGTCTTGGTACATGCCAGTTAGAAAACAAAGCACATGTTTAGTGGGTGGGATGGTATGGTTTGTTCGAGTTTTGTGAGTTCGTGGGTGAGCCTCTTTTTTACTGTTACAAATGCAGATTGTACGGTATATAGCATAATATGACAAAACTAGCAAAAACCATACCATCCTTAATCAAATAACAACCTTCCCACATGCTATGTTCACACATATTCATAAACCACCTCCTGGAGGCTTTTATAGGAAGCAGCATGAAGACGTTATACAGAACTTGGCTGAGTAAAACCCAGAAGATTTTATTAGTTACTGCAGCATTTATTCTAGGTACTAGTTTGGCTCGTTTCATTCCTGTGAATCCTCACCCACTATTTTGATTTATCGATTCTGAATAGGGAAGTCAACTTTGTTCAAGATCCAAAATAATAGAAATACATATCCGTTATTTGTAAGTCAATTTAAAATAAGAAAAATTCTGAATTGCTCTCGGGGTTAAAATTAAACAGGATAGGGAAATCTCAAGTGCATGGAGTTAATCTTTGTAAAAGTGCATTGTTCATATAAAAAAAAATGCTTGATATGAAAAGTTAACATATTTGTTGTTCATCATCTCTCCATGCCGCTGTAAAATGTGTCTCAATATTATAAAAAAAATAGAAGTGACGGATATTCAAATATTTTTACATTTCTTTATAGCTTTTGTTCAATAGAATGAGAATATTTCTCAGTCTGGCTTAAACAGGTGGTTTTAATGCATATTTCTTTATAAGCCTGAGGCTATAACGCTCAGGATCTCTCCTTCAGTGCACATTGCCAGCATCTGATCCAGCCATGCAAAACTTGGCCGTGGGGCTTCCCTCTGCGTCAAAATATCCAAATAATTGATTGTGTGGCAGTGACAACTAGTCTGGGTACTAATCTTTGCTCAACACATATTTTTAAAAAAAAAAAGTGTTATTTATATTTTCTTGAATGATAATCCAAAATCGGGCCTGCAAGAGACAGCTTAAAAATATTTATTTTTATTTTGGCCTTCGTCAACAGATGGGATGCTCAGTTGTCAATGAGATGGTCAAAATGTTATCACATTTTAGAATTAAATAATCCAATAATCTCTGCTGTTCCCAATTTAGCTGAAAGCTGCTGTAACCTACGGTGAGGATCTTAAAGGGTTCAGGCTTTATCTGATGCCTCTAAGAGTAAAAAAGGCCTTGATTGCCCCATTTACTCCTTTTATGGGCTGGCTCAGGACATCGCTACATAGTGGACCATAAATGCCCACTTTCAGCACTTATTACCAATCTGTTATCTATAAAATAAAATGTCTCTTGGACCTCACCGACAGGCCACTCTGAAAATATAGAAAGAATAATTTAGTTCAATCTTTACAACCTGTCCAATCTTAAAGTATTTTTCCCCCTCATCCCTCAGTGTTGGACCGAGCTCTCTCCAGACTCTATTGACTGCTGTAGGCCTGCTCTTCACTCACTTGCCCTCAGTCGGCCCTGATGCTGTAATGAGAAAATCCTGCCTCGTTTCATCAGGACATGCTGGATTATTTTGTGTATAGCTGATGTAGTCACTCTTTTCAGACTCTGGAGACAGCTGTCACCTTAAAGATTGTAAATTGTTGGTCCATTCAGTTATTTGTGGCACTATAGGTTTCAGGCATATTTCTCACTTGCCAATAATTTAAATCATTGGTTTAAAAATAAAATTGTAGAGGCTTTCGCTGGGGTGTTTTAGAAACCTTGCCTTTTCTCTCCTAGCGCAATACCAGATGTCTATTGTGTTCTAGTGTCACGTTTTCCTCTTCTCTTCTGAGCATTCTCTCAAAATCTAAGCCCTTGCTAGGAAGAAAGCTAATGACTACACTGCCAATGGTATTGAGGCTTTTTCCTTGAAACCATATTGATGCTATCTGGAGGGTCCAATGAGGATAGTTGTGCGATTGAGCCAAAACGCTCAGGGTGCTTCAGATGCATACACCTGTATCCATTCACAGCAGTGTGGGTTTAAGGGAGGCAAGTTATATTATGCACACAAATTGTTCTTCTGTAGCCCAGCACAATTTTCACCAGCCTGCTTTTATCTTTTCAGGGAGGATCCATTCAAAACAGGAAATCAAAGAGGTGCCTGGAGCTCGTAGTGAGCAGCGACAATGAGTTTGGCTACCAACTCACTCTGCAGAAATGCACCGGACAGAAATGGTTCATCACAAACGTGCTGTTTAGCAACGCCTTATGATCAACATCTGGCGGGGACACTGGAGTGAATGGATGGAGTTGCTTCTTTTGTGTACACATGGATTGTGTGAGATGATAGGAAACAGGAGTCCAACAGAAGAGCAGTGCATGGTTGAACACGGTCATTTTGAGCACCACGATGTCCTCCAATGAGACGAGTTGACATCACATGATAAATGTTAAACATTTTATTTTGCCTACAGGATCAGCCATAGTTGGCGGAATTTTGCAGATTTGACAAAGTAGTATATTTAGTATATTTTGTGGTAAATACAGTACAGTCAGATTTCGTTGACTTCAAAGATGTAATGGGTCCAATTATGTTTTTGTACTTTGTGCATAATTGCTACTGTGTAGCAGGCTTTCTGAACCTGTCCCTGCTGTAATTATTTTAAGTTAGTGTCTCAGGTTTGTAGGTTTGTTATGGGATTCAGCTGTAAAGTTGTGGGAAAATGTTGGAATAAATATGAAAATTATAGATAATTTTCTACATGTAAATATTTTGAATATTTGTTATATATAACATTAAATAACTGATGTTAACTACTGAGGGCAGTTTGTCTTTTGTTGTTGCACAAACATAATTTTGATTGACAACATTAGGATGTGGTTTGACAACACATTTACAGTCGGACAATAACAAAGTACAGAAAGCTGCAAGTTGCAGAGAACTAAACTGAACAAAGTTAGAACACAGGTTTCCTGACGCGATGTGCTGCGGTGGTTTGTGGCTGATGTAATTACTTATGACTTACTTAAGACTTGTCTCCTCCACAAGAAGGCGTAGCGTGAGCAGTACTCTGGCAGAGCAGCTGAAACTGGTCTTGTGTAGACATGCCACAGCATGGCATGCATCATTACCCTCTACATTATGAACTCTATATATAATTGCTCTGTAGTCTGTGAAATAAAATTGGAAGGTTAAAACTAGCATTTTTTTACCCTGCTGACTGGTTGTCATGTTGAAATGTTTTCTTCAAGTGCATTTGTTTAGTCTATTTTCATGTTCTTTTTAGTTGCAGTGTGTTAAACATAGGGGCCACCATTTGGCCTTAAAAGGGACATTTTATTAAATAAACAAAACTTGTGCATGGATACACAGCATTTAGAAAAGTGATGTTGTCAGTTTGTAATGACAAATGCAGGGGCAGAAACTGAGAAACGCGACTGCTTTCTGCTCTCGCTGTGGTGTGTACCTGGGGAGGAGACGAGTGGCACAGCCTGTTTTCAACATGCCAGTCCTCATTACCATCCATATTCAAGCAGAGTTCTGCAAACCATGGCATTAAATATACATGGGAACCCACTTTCATCAAAAGGACCTCCCTCACTAACACGTCCTAATGTATGCAATAAGAGCGCCTCTGCATGCTCAAACTTTTGAATGAAAGCAATTCAACAAAACAGTATTTCCATACGCATTTCTTACATCCTCTTTTAGTGGATCTCTGGTCCTGAGTCTGCTGGTGCTCAGTTTAAACATTTCCTTTAGCCATTAAATGACTGTTGATAGGGAGTCTGTGTACATCTGTTTAATATTCTATTATCATACATACATTTATCACCCTTGTTGATTTGGCAGTATCTTGGGCCACTAAATCACTTGAAATATATATATATACATATTTAGGTTGGCACAAAGTACACGGCCGAGATTGAATTCCCTGTGAAATGTGGTGTAAAAGATGCATCCAACTGAATCCCACAGTGATGAAGCTGTCACCATCGGAGCCTACAATATCTTAAGAAATGTGCTGCTCTGATTTCAATGAGGCCAGGCTAATAAGTCAGTCTTTTCTTTGAAATACAGCATTTGCAATATTACAGACATTTGCCTTAATATGAGAATTAAAGACTGCATTTTCACAGGATGCATCTTAGTTTCTGGAGCAATCTTCATAATAAACTTTATAATAAACTTTATTTGTATAGCACCTTTCATGCACAAAGCAGCCCAACGTGCTTTACAGAACAAGAAGAAAACATAACAACAATATTAAAAATAAATACAGAACAAGATAAAACATCTACAGTGATCCTAAGGAAATCCCCTTGAATGAGCTGACAGGAAATTAAAATAGGTTAAAATAAAAACAATTTGTTCATAGACATTTCTCTTTCATACAAGCAATTTGTCAAAAGAGACAGGTGTTTTTATGCCGACTGCTTCTTCATTTGAACTTTTAGTAATATACTGATATAATATACTCATTTATTTAATTTATAACATGGACCAAAAGTGCACCATTAGTTATTTGTAGGAACATGATGAAATTTGTGAAAATGCATACAGGAAAAGATATTACCTCCTACTTACATGTACCATCAGTTGTGTTGGATAGTTTCCTCGTGTAATTGTTTTAATTGGTTTTTTTTTTCATTAGTGGGACTCAAAATGGTGGCATTAACATTGTTAAAATGGTTTTAGCTTGGGTAAAGTTTAAGATCACTGCTTGCAAATGATGGTGCAATTATCAGGGAAAGGGAATCCGTGACATACTTACTGGGTACCTTCACCATGAAAAGTACGTAAAGATGGGGGATGAAGAAGAGATTTCAGAATAAGGAGGTAAAGTATTTCTTCAATTACTATTCATCTATTCAATGATTTAAATTGACAGGGAAACACACTAACTCGCGATTTGGGATTTTCAGGTGAACCCATAGACGTCATTGCTGTGTTTCCCGGTGTGTGTTCATGCCGAAGGCTTCGGAGCAGACGGCAGATGCAGGAAGTGTGACTCTCTCTCTCTCTCTCTTTAGTATGCAGATTGTATGCAGATTGTGTAACTCACACTCGACTCAATGTGCCCCCTTTAAAGCAAGAACATTGACTGAGAGTTGAAACTTAAAAAAAACAAATTAAAAAAGTGACATGAATACAAATCTGAAAATTGGAATTCAAAAACACGATAGAAGGAAGAAAATTACAAAATGAAATAAGATTGGGAGTGCACGGTCAAAAAATTAGGAAGTTTGTCACGTTATCCAATGAATTTACTCTCAGTGGTTTTATATTTATTTGACAGATATCTGAGTTTTCTCATCTAATTCACAACAAAATGCTATGTTGAACCATTCTTTAAAATATGTCACCCATATCCCCCACCCTCTCTCTCTCTCTCTCTCTCTCTCTCTCTCTCTCTCTCTCATTCTAAGTCTATAATTCATCGTTTTGTCTCTTGTGAGGAAAAGCTCTGAGAGGCAGCCCTTCATGTCTTGTCATTATTTTCTGCCCCCAACAAGGCGACAAAAAAGAAGTTGAGGGAAATATTCCTGGCAGAAGTCTTGGTGTGATCAGGGGAATCAGCTGACTTTGATACCATATGGCAAAGGGAAGCAGCTCATCAGATGTGAGAATAACTTCCCTCAGGATCCGGAGAGGAGGTTTCCTCTGTTCTCTCTCTGCAGGTGAGCCACAGGTAGCTGAGGGGAAGCTGTCAGTACCTGCGGGGCGAATAGGACAACACACAGAAACATAAACTGGGAATAGTCTAAGGCTCTAAGCAGATACTTCTCAGCTGAAAATAAACACAAACCCTGCCAAAGATTGAATGTCTGTTCATTTACATTCCACAGGAAGAGCAGTGTTAGGGGGAAGAGGCTTTAAGCAGGAAAACTGATTTACCAGAACAATGCATGTGGGTGGGAAATGTGTGCTCACAGTGAAGCCAAAATGTTTCACATGTGGATAAATGTCATTGTTAATTGTTTTCTGTGTGAGTGAATCTGACTTGAAACTGTGTTGCCATGACTACAAGTCCTAAATGGCATATTCTGAAACCCCCAGGCATGGGAGACTGTACTGTAGGTGAGCACATCGGCTGAAAAGACCTGACAGGATGTAATTGCAGATGCAGATGTAACTTTAATCTCTGCCCTTTTGACGTCACGCCCAACTGCTTTGACCTATGCAAATGAACTGGCAGACAAATCTGCTGTGTACATTTGTCTGTGCTGTTTGTGAAGTAAGAGAGCGTAATGGTGCATAAGAGATATGCTACCGTGGAAATAAAGCTCATGCAGGCCTGAAGACATAATGTCAAGGTCAAAAGTGAGGGCCAAATCATCTCTAATCACCCAAGCACACAATATTTCAGTACTATATATCCTTTATTTAACCAGGTAAAATACTCATTGAGATTAAAATCTCTTTTCCAAGAGCGACCTGGCCAAGAAGGGCAGCATGTACAAAGTTACAACAGATAAAACACAGACATGACAGGCAGACAAATACAGCTGTAAAACACAAATAAAATGGCACATTAGCCAGTCAATATGCGAAGTAAAACAAACTATTAAAATCATTCAAAACTGGCAAAATTTAAAACGATTTTAGGATATACGAGCACTCACATCTACCAATGGTGTCGTGTTCTCTGTCCTTTAAGATGGACCTGAATTCCCCCATAGTGATTAAATCTGAGAGTTTCAGCTCCTTCTGTACATTGTTCCAAGCTGTGGGGGCAGCATCTAAAAGCTGTTTTACCCAGTTTTGTTCTCACTGTAGGGACCAGCATCTGAATAAAATCTTGGGAGCGCAGGCCATATACTGTAGACTTTCTCTTTGACACATATATGTGCAAATGTAGGAGGGAACCAACCCAAGCAGAGATGTATAAATAAAACCCAACCAATGGGAAAGTCTGCGAGCAGACAAAGATGGCCAATTAGCAGCAGCATATAAAGTGCAATGGTGTACTCGATATCCACATCCAGTGATAAATCGTAAGGCACAATGGTACACAGTATCCAAGCTCTTTAGGCATTGGTCAGAGGCATTCATGTATAGCAGGTCACCATAATCTAATACAGGTAAAAACATTGCAGATATCAAATGTTTCCTTGTCTGAAAAGAGAAACAGGATTTATTCCTGTAAAAGAAACCTAATTTTATTTTTAGCTTTGAAACAACATTTTCTGTGTGTAACTTGAAAGAGAAGTTCCGTTCAATAAGAAATCCCAGATATTTGTAAGTAGTGACCCTCTCAATGTCAGTCCCTTGTGCAGTACAAATCTTGGGTAGAATAGATGGTAATTTTTTTTTTCGAAAATATCATCACTTTGGATTTTTCAGCATTTAATACCAACTTTAGTTGATATAAATGGGTTTGTATGACATCAAAGGCAGACTGGAGGAAATCTAGACTTTGCTCTATAGAAGCGGAGGAACAATAAATAACAGTGTCATCTGCATAAAAATGGTAAGAAGCATTTGCTAAATTATTACATTGATTATTTACATATATGGTCAAAAGAATGGGTCCTAATATGGAACCTTGTGGCACACCCTTTGCTATCGGGAGGAAGGAAGAAAAGGACCCAGAAAATTGGACGCATTGGGTTCTCGCTGATAAATAATTTAAAAACCAACCTACAGTATGCCTAGATAAGCCGATACTGTGAAGTCTTTCCGTCAGGATGATATGATCAACTGTGTCAAATGCCTTTGACAAATCAATAAATAGAGCTGCACAATACTTTTTACAGTCCAATGCCTCAATTATGTTGTTCACCACTTTAATAGCAGCAGTTGTTGTGCTGTGTT